CCTGGACGGCCTCCTTTGGGGGGAAGAAGGCCCCCCGCGTCGAAAATGGCCGAAACCCCCCCCACTTCTGGGATGCGCTGGGGTCGCCCGGTGGCCAACCGGGCGGAACAACCGGCCAGGCGGCCCGCCCCACCCCCCGGGCGACCACCAGGCCGCCGGGCAGCCCGGGGACCAGCCTAGCAATTTTCTGCTATCTTTGTTTATTTTTGAATTCTCTGTTCGCAGCTCCTCCATCCTTTTTATATCCATCCAGTTCCTCGCTGGAACAGCTAAATATACTAGTAGCCCCTGCAGGCTTGTGACCATTTATGGTCAGAAATGTTTGTAGTAGTCCCACGGTCTATTGTTCATCTATTGAGGGTCCGTTTGAAGATGCTCCTTGCATCTTTTTGCTATTACATTCTATGGGTCTTCCGATCTGTCACTCATTCTATACAATCTATACCTGATTTGAACTGTATGTTCAGGAAGTAGGAAGAGTTTACTTATCCTTTGCTTGCCTATGCGTACATGGTACATACCATTCCCGCTCAGCTGGGTTGAACTCCAATCATTGATATCTTTGTCAGGTCTGCAAAAGAAGTATCGATCTTTACTGCGATCTTCAGGGCCACTTGTTCATCTTTTCCTTTTTCTTCTTCCTGATTTCCTGGTTTTGTTACCCTTACTACTAATAGAGACGATTCCGAGTGGAAGAGAACATTTTCTCAATGATACAAAGTTCAAGTCAAGGCAACAAGAAGTAACACGTTTCCACAAAGGGTTGTGGTTTGGACCCTTCCTCAATACTCAAGGGGGCACAGGTAAATCGAACGGAGTCTCAGTACAGTCTAAGGGCGAAGGGGGTGAAGGGGGCTGGGGGAAAGGAAGGTGGTGAGCTGAGGTGGGGGGAGATTATTGTCATTTTATGGTAGACCATAGGCAGTTAATATTGCATGTACAGGTTAGGGGGGTCAGAGGCGGTAGGTTACGGGAGAGTGGGGGGGGGAGGGCAGTATCTTTTTTGTAGTGTACTATAGTAGGCTATCCCGGGATGAATCAAACGAATGCATATACAATACAGCGTAATATGGGCTTTCATTGCCGCCCTTTATATAGTGATTAGCTTGTTGCCTGTCATATCAATGGTACCAGAAGGAAGATGCACTACTAATTCATAAATATTCAAGGATGTCATCAGCATATCTTACTTAAGTGGGCTTTAGGGTGAAGCCTGGGATAAAGGCGAGGGATGAAACTGCAGTTAGTATGAAACGGAACCATGAAGGCATTTTCTAACAAGACAATAAGGCAGCACACAAGGGGGAATAGAAGGTGAGGGGAGGGGGTGAGGTGCGGAGGAGGGGAGGTTAGAATGGCAACAAAACCAGGTTAGAGTCTGCAATCAGACTCACTTTCTTTCACACTTCGCACTCACACAAACAGATTGCAAGTCACAGTGGCGCTCAGCGCCCACTCCAACTCAAAGATATGAAAGTCGAAAACACAGTTCAGATACTTGCTCGCTGCAACAGGCTATGGCGCATCAGCACCTGTACAACTCTCTGTTCGTCTCTGTGCTCAACTCCCCTATTTCCACACACTCATCTTAGGATCACCCTGGATATCCCACACGCGACACACTGTTTCACACACACGCACACTCTGCACTCGCCTACCACCTACTGCGGCTATGGCCGCTCAACCCTGCTGGCTATGGCTACGCCCTCTACTCTGCCCACTTCGTCTGCGGGCTCTCTGCAGACCACCTCGCACAAGTCGCTCAAGCAGCGCTTCCGCATGGCTCACGCAGCAATGAATGAATGGCTGGGCGCTGCCTCTTGATTTATACTTCTGTAACTCGTTGGTCTGCCCCTTTTCCATGTCCGTGGTGCACACAGTCCCATACGGTACTTGCTTGACTGGATGAGGACTGACTGGGACTGTCACCACTGACTCAGCAAGGGTGGACTTCACCGCTTGCCCACTTGCCTCTGTCTAAACGTGAGCAAGCTCCGAGAGGCCACTTCCAGACCTTCCGGAAGTCCGTAGACTTGGACTTTCGGTACCGTAGCAGCTACGACCTTGACCTTTCAGGACTATAGCAGCTACGACTTTGACCCTTCGGAGGAGCTACAGCTATGACTCCTAGGACCTGCTAAGACCTACAAACAACACGTCTATAGCTCGAACCCCTACAACTGCTGCGAATACACAGGTCACGGGTTCAACTCTCGGGTTCGACACAGATACTGTACACAGGTAAGGTGAGGACTAGGGATCGGGCCCTGGGATCTGCATCCGTTACTGCGAACAGGTGAATACCGTTTGAAGTCCCTTCCCTCACCTATTACTACAGGGGGGGTGGGGCATCCAGTAGCTGAAGAAGTTGGGGTGCCTGGGTACCATCAGGAATCTCCCGGCGACGAGCGGTCCGTGATTCTGCTGTTCCACTGGGTGGCTGCAGTAGGACAGCAGTAGGACGGGAAGCTGGCTGGCTGTCTAGGGGCTGCATTGCTCAGGCCCGGGCCTTCACTTCTGTTCTCTTCTTCTGTTAGACTTCTTCCCCTCTTCATTTGTTCATTCTGCTTGCCAGTGATGTGTGAGTGGATTTATAAAAAAAAACAGAAAAAACAGTAGGACGTTTCCTTGTGTTTGCCATTCCTTCTCCGTTACCACCCAAGAGCACACAGCCCTCCCCGAAAGAAACATAATTTAGTGCCCTCTCTCTCTCTCTCTCTCTCTCTCTCTCTCTCTCTCTCTCTCTCTCTCTCTCTCTCTCTCTCTCTCTCTCTCTC